CATGTTTTTTTTTTTTTTTTTTTGTACCAGGGATCGAACTCGGGTCCTTGTGCTTGCGAGGTAGGCAGCAGAACCACTGAGCTAAATCCCCGGCCCACTTATGTATTTTAAAGATATACTTCAATCAGAATGAGAACTTGGTCAGGGAATTTTGCATATAAAATGTAAAGCAGACAATTTTCCCCTTCAAATAATCCTAGAATATAATGATGGACTATCAAGATACAAGTACCCATCATTTTATATCTGATATACATTTAATATGATGAGAGAATTTGTAATATGACCTTTCTTCTCACTCAACCAGCCTCATTGCCCTCTTTTCTTCAGTGTTACTCTTTGAATTTTTGAGTCAAGATCTCTCTATGTAGCTCAGGCTGGCCTTGAACACATGGTGATCCTCCTGCCTTAGCTTCCCAAGTGCCAGGATTACAGGCATATGCCACCATGCCTGGTTCCTTCTGTTTTACTCTTAAGAGTTGAAACTGTTTAGGAACTGAGAGGAAGTCTTAAATATGTGGACTCGATATCTGCCCTGAACTTCATGACATCCAACCTCTGAGGACAAAGGAAGACTGAAAATGAAGAAGCAAATAATCCCTAGGTCCCCTCCCACAGCCCCGTCCAGTCAACTCACCCAGAACATTGCTTTTCTATAACCATCAACTATGGTCACCAGCATGACACGGACCTGGGTTCGTTGAAAGCCGAGTGTCCACTGCAGCAGATGCATGGTGACAACACCAGAAGCATTAGGGATAGAAAGACACACACGGGGCCCCACACTGGCACCTGAGGTGCCAGGCCTCGAGCAGTGAGCTATGGTCAGAGGCCTCTGCATTAGATGGGCAAGATGCACAGCCCGAGACTCCTGCCACGGGCAGAGACCCCCAGGGATGGCATTTAGTGGTGCTACCTGGTCCTAGCCCTGACCCACGGGTCACTCTCACAGGCAGGACAGGGCAGGAATTCTCACATGAGATGCAGGTGCCGGGTTTAGTTCTCCTGAGGAAAAGTCTGAACACAGCACATTCGTTTTCCTCTGCAGTGGGTTGAAATCTGGACTGAAACAGCTGGGAAAAAGCTTCCACTTCTTCCTCTGGTCATCCTAAAAACATTGATGAGTGAGTGCAGCTGGGTCTCCTGTGGTGGTGTCTTGGTCTTGCCTGTAGGGGAGAATTCAGTCTCCAAAGCAGGGCCATTGCCAGAGCTGGGATTCACAAAGCACCCCACCTCTCTGTGCTTCAACTTACTCCTCAGCAAAAGACCATACCAGCGCAAACCAGGAGTGAAAGGGAGGATTCAGTGTAGCCCAGAAACTGGTGCTCAGCCCGAGAGAAGCATTTGCTCATTTTAATTGGTGTTACTAAATCTGACTGGTGTGGCTCCAGGAAGGTGCTGCTAGGGGTTCACTGACCCTCAGATATGATTGGATTCCCATGCCACAAACAAGTATCTTTCCTGGTCAGGGACCACTCCCTTTGTGGTGCATTCCTGGGGCTGGGCTGTAGTTTGGCAGGGCATTTGCCCAGCATACCCATAGCCCTGGCTTCCATCCCCAGCAACACCAAAAGCAAAAATAAAAAATCAGCACATCCTGTGTGCTTGTTGCCCATTATCTGTGAGAATATGACAGTGTCACAGCCTGGCCTCCCCCAGAAGCAATGCTTGTTGTCCTTTATGTTTTCCTCTGGTATCACAATAGACCTTTCTTTCCTCAACACTGAGCAGGGCTGTCACAAGAACACATCTCATGAAGTGCTTGGCTTTGGCACTTCAGCTGGGACTCATTGGAAATTACAGCTTCTCTGTTCTTCCTGCTAGAAGCCACACCAAGGGCATCTCCACCAAGACAGGTTATCTTAACAGCACTGTATGGGTACATGTTTTTCTTTGCATGGATGAGTACCAAGACTGGAAGAGGGTAGAGAATAAATAGCACAGTTGAGTCTACTGTGAAATCAGATCACTCTTGCAGACCATGGGAATTTTGGTGACCAACCTCAAAGCAAACACTTCCTGGCACCAGGGCCAAAGATGCAGCTTTATGGGACAGCACTTGCCTGGCTTGCATATGGCCTGGGTTCCATCCCCAGCACCACCAAAAAAATGTTCTTACAGCAGTATGCAGGTAACTCACAATATTTCCTGGTCATCTTTCCCCGAACACTGAACCAGATACTGGGATAGAAATTAAAGAGGTGTTTTCAGCCTTCTAGCTGCACAAGACCACTTTCCCAATGACGATGTCTGTGAAACCAATGTCCCCACACTCATACAACCCCCTACATTGTGCACAGCACCAGTGACTACTGCCTTTCCCATTGGAGATCTGGTCATTGCTGCCCCATGGAGCCTCAGCCCTCGGGCCCAAGTGAGTCATTGGTATCGCATACTAATGTAATGACCAGTTGGTTTTCTACGAAGCGGCAAGCGTAGTTTTGCTCCTTCGGGTCACAGAGGTGCTTTGTATTACTAGAATTCCCCTAGATTTCCAGTTAGGTTTCTGTAACCCTGCTGTGCTCCTATCAGTGTGTTGGGGCACACTGAGTTTCAGGGGTGGGCCCAGCAGCTGTGCTACCTACTCAGGTGAGCTGCGACAGCAACAGCCAGCTCAGGCTGCTGAAGGGCCAGGAAGGTCTTGTGGCAGCCTTCACACAGGCCTCTTCCCTCAGTTTCTAGGTCACTGTCACTCGGTAAACCCCTAACTTTTCCTTGGGTTTCTTCTTATCATTCAGTGATTTGGTACTAAGATGAATATCTTCCTGGAAAACTCAGACTCCTGCAGGCCATCTATAACTATTTTGTAGGAATATAGACAGCCTATTTTTCCCCTTCTGGATACATCCAGATCTGTACTATTTTGTGTTGCAGTACTAGGGATGAAACCCAGAGCCTTGCTCATGCTAAGCAAGTACTCTACCACTAAGTCCTTTTATTTCTAAATGCACAGAACAGTGACCTTAAATATAGCTCAAACTTTGTAAATGTCATGACAAGGAAAGATTTCCCTGAAATTGCTTTCCAAAATGGAAAATATATACAGAATTTGTTTCTGCCATGCTGAGCCCAGTGCAACTTCTGGGAGGCCTGACAGGCTATTGATGGCAGCAGCGGACTCTCCCAAGGGCAACATAACCAGAATGTGTGCTGCGGACACTTTCTTCTGTGCTTGTCAGTTTTGGTTTTTTGTGGGTCTATCATATATCATCATGATTCCCTTTTATTCTTACAATCAACCTAGACATAAACTAATTTGTAGGTTAAGTAGAAGTAGCTTTTGCCTTTAACGTCAGAGGGGTTGGGCTAGGGATTTAGCTCAGTGGCGCCGTACCTGCCTCGCAAATGCAAGGTCTTGAGTTCAATCCCCAGTACCAAAAGACAAACAAACAAAAAGATCAGAGGGGTTGAAGAGAAAATATTAGAGAATTCAATTATAATAATGCCTGTAATTCATTTAATAATACTTTTTCACTTGCAGTCAGTAATGATGAAGTCATATTTTTAAAATCGTGTACTGCTATTCAGTAGCATTGAAGACATTTCCAAATGGTTTTGCATTTCTAATTGTTTTCATGTAGTTGTCACTTTGAAGCTATTAAGTATCAACAAAATGTCATCAATGGTCACTGCTGTAGTGAAGGCCAAGAGTGCATTTTCTTAACTCCCAACATGCAGTGCCTTTAGATGAGTGATGCTGTCTGACAAGCAGTCCCAGCAACACTAACACTGGCTCCTCTCTGCCTAGAAAGCCAGGTGATGACAAAGCCTGGCAGGACTCTTGCTCCTATTGATTTCTCCTTCCTTCGGTCATTTTCATCAGCTGAGTAGCCTGTTGAATCTTTTCTCACCCAATCTGACAGCATTTTCTCTAGACTTGAAATAGGACGAATGACTAATTTTCTTGTCACTTATGTTTTTACTCATGTGAGACTTTGAGTGACAGTGTCACAGAGCATTTTCTCACTTGGTGGTTCATAGAAGGTGAGGTGCACTGGAGAATGATGGAAATGGAAAATACTCTAATTAAGAATGTGCTCCTTCACAAATCA